TAAGCAGAGGGAGCAGGTTTCCCCCTCCCTCAGGAATGCAGCCAGCTCAAGTTCCCTAAAGCGACAGGCTGAGGGTGTGGTCCCCTGTGTGCTGGGCCCATCCTAATTGAATGGTCACAGCACAGAGATTTCAATCAGTGTCACAAGGCAGAGATTTTTGGGGAGAAACCAAGGTGGCTTTTTGCCACAGGCACCATCCAGGATGGAAACCTGCCCATGGTGCAGCAGCTAGGCAATGGCATCTTGCGACAGCTGGACAAGGGTGAGGACCGTGCACGACCCATAGCCTGGTCCTCTGTGTGGGCAGCAAGTATGTGGCTACAGTCAAATTCAGCTCCTGAAGAGTCAGAGAGGTCCTTCAGCAACTCCACTCCCATGGAAATCAATGGGGGAATGGGGGGGGGTGGTCATTAAGCTAAGCCCCTTTTCTGGATCTGGATCCAAGCCCTGACCTCTGCCAAATGACGCCCTGGCAGCTGTTATTCCGATTTTCTCTCTGTAAAATAGGAATTCAGAATCCTCCACAGGGGACATACACAGGCATGGGTGTATGTGTGCACATCTGAAATCACTAATATCTACCAGACATTGAGATGCCTTGAGCAGGAGGGCCTGTGGTTTCCTCAGCTCACATGCCAGCCACAGTCTTCCCGGTGAAAGCAATGCTGAGTAACCAGAGCAAGCCCAGCAAGAAAAACAGTTTATTGCATTTGCTGGACAGAGATGCAACACAAATGGCAGGGCAGCTGCTAGATTCACACCCCGTCACGTGTGTTGTTTCCAAGGGGGCTTGGAGAAGAGACGTGGCTGCTTGCACACAAAAGCCAAAGCCCCTTACAGGCTTCACTGCCCAAGGGAGGTGGATCTGAGCAAGGAACTGAAAGGCTTCTTTACTAACAGCGAGGGCATGTCCCTCCTTTTATCCAAGGACCGAGCTGGGCGATCCAAGGTGTTCAGATGAAACTCAACAACTTGCCTCATAAGCGAAAAGGAGGCCACTGGTCTCAGTCAGGGCCAATGGTGTTCACCTCACTTGACTTCAGCACACATGACCAAGTCTAACCCTCCAGCCGTCTGCATCAGAGCCACAGGGACCAACACCAGTGAGGGATAGGCACCTGGTTGATATACTATCATTCCTTCCAGGCTGTGCCAGCCCCGACACCCATTGACTGCCCCTGCAGGATGGAGCCTAGGGATTTAGAACAGAAACCTCTTGCCTGGGAGAAGTCCAGATTCCAGCTCATGCCCCAAGACAAACGCAAGCAGCCATTGCCTTCAAAACCAGGAGCTGCACAGTCCAGGGAAGCCTGAACATGCCTGCCTGAAGACAGGAGGATCTGCTTCCCAACCTGGATAAGCAGAGAACACGCTAGGGCCAAACCCATTCCTGTTGTGACCAACGGAGATGCGCCTCAGATAGGCACACAGCCCACAATGGCTGTGGCAAGTCTCTTGAGCCCCAGTGGCCGGATGGCGAGTGTGGTGCTCACTCGCACAGATCAATGCAAGGCAGGAAGATCTACCTAAGTTGCAACTGTCCTGCCCGGTCCTATTCAACCCAGGACCACGGCTGAGAGTCCAGAGCTCCTGCCTCCTCTCCACAGGTGCTGGCATGCTCCTCCACCTCCATGCTACTGAACTGCAGCTCACAGATGGGGCACAGCACCCAGGCCTCTGGGGGCTCCTGGCATGGGGGATTCTCCCAAGACCAGTCTGGGCCTGGAAAGACGTCATCTTCCCCACAGGCAGAGGCATGAGCAGGAAGGAGATCCATGCGGAAGCAACCTGCAGTGGGGAAGAGAGAAAACAGGACTGTCACAGAAAAGCAGGGCTGGTAGGGATGTTCAGTCATGTCTAGCCCAACTCCCTACTCCAGGCATCAGCCCTACCCTAACCAGCCCAGACAAGGATGGAGACTCCACACCTGTTCCAGGCAGCCTGTTCCAGTGCACAACCACCCTCAGGATGAGAAAGTTCTTCCTAATCTCCATCCTAAATTTCCCCTGCTGAAGTTCACAACCTTGTTCCTTGTCCTGTCTTGTTACCACTGAGAATAGTCTATCACTATCCATATAACTACCTGTCAAGGACTGAAAGAATGTCCCCATCAGTCTTCTCCAGACTAAACCACCCCAGTTCTTCCAGCCTTTCTTCTTAAGTCAGGTTTTTCCCAGGCCTCTAATAATTTTTGTTGCTGTCTACCAGACTCTTTCCAATCTTTCCATATCTTTCTTGAAGTAAGGGGCCCAAAACTGGACACAGGACTCCAGGCAACACCTCCCCAGTGCTGGATAGAGCAGCAACCCAGGATGCTGTTGGGTTTTTTTTGCAATAAGAACATGATATTGTATCATATTCAGCTGATGGCTGTTACCCTGGGCCCTTCTCTGCAGTGCCGCAGCCTAGCCCCTCATTCCCCAGTCTATTTGTACAGTCCCAAATGCACACAGTTGTCTCTCTTAAATTTAATGAAGTTGATTTCTAACCAGTTCTCCAGTTTATTCAGGTTGGTTTGAATCCCCCCCCCCCCCGCAATTAGGGCTTGGGCTGGGGGGGATAAAAATAACAAACAAACAAAATTAGGAAATTCATTTGGTTTCGACATTTATAAAATGAAATGCTTGGACAGTCCATTTCAAAACACTTGCATCCCAAGCCTGACATCTGAATTCAAGTTTAAGAGATAAAATAAGAGGTTAAACAACCTGGAACCCAAAATTCCCTGCTCTGGTCTCACACATGTGTTATGAGGTAACTTGACACACATTATTTTCTTGATTTTCTGGTTTGGCCACTGGTTTCAAAAATTGGGATGAGAACATTCCCTGCCATCCATTCTGTGATCAGCTCCTAGCCCAGGGTCTGGAGGAGGAATAGAACCAGGATCCTGAACCAACCATCTCTGTTGGCATCACATCTGCAATAGACGTAGACAGCAAGCTGCCGTTCACCCTTTCCCTAGGCCACATCAATAAAGATGCAGGTTGTACTCCATCCCAGACATGGCTGCATCTCAGAGGCAAGTATCATTCCCACTGAGATGTGCTGCATGTCAGGCACACCTGAAGGGCTCTGCAGACAGGCTGACTAGGGCAGGATGACATGTGCTGGAGGATGCTCACAACCCACAGCCCGTGTGCAGGACACTCACCTGCACAGATGGGGCAGGTGCCCATCTCCATTCCTTGTCTGTTCTCCTCTCTATCATCCCCTTGCCTGGTGGGCCTTCTTCCTCCTCGGCCCCGGCCCCGGCCTCGGCCCCTGGTTCTTCCCCGCGTCCCTTCCTGAGCAGAGGAGGCCAGTGGAGACCTACAGAGAAGAGTTCCAGGAGCAATTGCGTCTCCAGGTGTCAGGGTCTCCCTTGCCACGTGCAGCCCAGAAAGTCAAGGGCCAACTTGTCTTAGAAAATCCATCCAACTCAGAGACATAAGAGGAGACTGGACACAAGCACAGGCTATGATGGAGACCCAGAGAAGGGGGGGGGGGGGCATGGATGTTGGGCTCAAAAGGTAAACTCTGGAGTGGGGACTGGCATGCACTGGAGGCAAGGAAGGATTCAATGGATGCAACCACTCACCTGCCCCAGGGCCCCTGTGATCTCTGTCTCCTGCTCGACTTCGTAGGTGTCCTCAGAGCTGGAGGGGCCTGGATGGCCTGAATGGCGCCTGGGGAGCAAACAATGGCCGTCACACCCTCCTCTAACCCACCTGGAGATGTTCTGCCAAGAAGAGCCTCGCAAAGAAGGTATCGTGAGTCTCATTTCAGAGATGGGGAAACCAAGGCACAGGGACTCACCCAAGATCACCCAGCAGACTGGGGACAGAGCCAGAGCCAGAAAGTAAAACTCAGTCCAGTGCTCGACCTGCTAGCCCACCTTGTCACACCCTGCTGACCACACTGTCTGTGTGGGGGGATCCTAGACAGGCTGTTTGGTGCCTGGGGAACAGAAGCTCCACATACTTCAACACCACGTAGATCCATCTCTGAACAGAGGCACAGACCCAGGACTTGCAGGGATTCGCTGGGACAGGAGGGAAGCCAGCCAGCTGAGCAGTGCCTGGAAGCTGACCCTGTGGGGCCAGAGTTGGGGGCTCTTGGGTGGCTAGGGAAAGTCTGATGGGGGGGGGGGGGCCC